CATATTTTAAAAAAAAAAATAAAATCAGCCTGTCTTTGCAAAAGTTGAAGGTAGATCAATTAGCATGTGTTAAGTCTGTGGCTTTATGATTTCAGAGTACAGCTTTTACAGTGTGTACAATCGTTTAAAGACAGTGCAGGGACATTGACATCTCCCCTGTGTGTTAGAAGAACAGTTAAATTACGTGGTCAGCTAACAAAGTGAATATGTATATTTAGCTTTTGGAAGAAGTTCATTTTATTTGCTAAACAGGCCTCTCTGCTTTTGGGAACTTATATTAACCCACCTCATTTTAATGGCCAAAGTGTCTTTGACTTTATTTGTACCAAAGTCAGAACAGAGCCCAAAACCTCTGCTGTTTTAGAACAAACAAAAAAAAATCCCTCCAAAACACACAACAAAATATTCCACAGCTGATTTCAGTAGAGCTGGCCAGATGGACATCAGGTAAGGCTGTGTAGTTTTCCGTGCATTTGGCACCTTAAGTAATTTGTAATTGTGACAGAGAGGTATTTGAAGGTGATGCCTTTGGCACTTATGAAGTGTTTTAGGGTTGCAGAGGAGTTCTGAGTAGGGATTATTACTGCTTTCCAAAATACTCATGCTTTAGGCTCCAGAGTAGTATAATTTCTCTTGCTCTTCTGAATGTGACTTTGTTTTTCAAAGTGGGGCAAGATACTTGACGCTGTTTTTTTTTAATAATAATAGTAAGGTTGTAAAGTCTACAGTTTTCCCACTTTAGAAGAAAAACCAACAACTTAGCTATAGTTTTAACCAGTACTCAAGGGAAAAAACAGAGTTGAACGGAAAAATAACATACATAATCATTAGAGTAATCCTTCCGTCTGATCTGAAGCAGAAGATTGATTTGTTTTAGGAAAGCTATAAACATTTTAGAACTGAAGCCCAGGCATGAACAGTGGAAGGTTTTCTGCTCTGTCAGTAAGTTCACACACAAGAAAATGAAATTGACAGAGAGGCATCTTAAGATGCAGGTACTTCACTCCTAGACTCTATAGAGTTAAAATCTAGGAGGGGGTCCCATTGTGGTCATGGGGCTGGAGCACTCAGGGGAATAAAGACCTGGGTTTGATCAGTTGTAGGAAGCAAAGATTAAGGGAGCTCATACTGTTGCCTTCAAACATCTATTGGGAGAAAATGGAGAAAGAGCCAGATTCTTGTAGGCACGTGGTCATACACTGAGAAGTAGTGGACCCAAGCTGGAACATGGGAAATTCTCATTACATACACTTTCAAAATGTACTTGTTTTTTACCACAAGGGTAGTCAAATATTGGAACAGGGGCCCTGAGTAGTTGTGGGATCATCCATCCTTGGAGATGCTCAAAACTTGGCTGGATGGAAGCCCTCATGTAGTCTGATTTGCTTTAAGGGGAAGGTTGAACTAGAGGATTCTTCCAAACTTAAATTATTAGAAACAAGGGACAGCTTGGGGAAAGCAGGTAAGGAAGTCCTAAAGAGAAATTAGCAGGAAATTGCTGAAATAATGCTGTTGGTAAGTTTTCTTCCCTCATTCATAAATGGGTGCTTTTTCTCTGGTGTATAGAATGGCTTTGTTCCTAAACTTCAAGGAGGAGTTTGCCCGTAAGGCTGTCTCCCTGTTGCTGATTGGCAGTGCAGGTATGAACCAGAAGCAATGGCAGCTGCATCATGGGGTTCTGTCTGTCTGTCTGTGGGGTGAGAGCGGTGGCTCTTAGCCTGCCTCAGCAGTATTCATGTGGTGTGCTGCTCCGTCACCACTGGGTCACTGTGTTCCTCTCCTCTTTTTTTTTTTTTCCTGTTGGAGAGGGTATTTTGCATTAAGATAAAAGAGATGAGATAAACTAATTTTAGTATCAGAGTTATTAAAGACTTCAAGATACCACTAATCAGTTCTAATTTAATCTCAGCACCCAGGCATATGTAGTACTGAAAACTTTTATTAGGTTTCTATAATTGTGTTAAAAGTGATACCCTCAGGCTAGTATTGAAGCAAGGGAAATTGCCAGGCTCTGTGCGTGACGGTACTGACCTGAGAGCACTGAGAGGGGAGTGGGGTTTGCTCTATTAATGCTCTGTGTTTTACATCAGGCTCCTTAACTGTCAGGGGCTTAGTGCTGTTTCTATTTAAGAGTGGGCTCTGCATCATTTTGGCTCTGGACCAACAAAACTAATCTTCAGGCTCCTGGAGTATTCATCAGAGGAGAGAGCTGGGTGGGGAATCCCAGGAGTGTGTAGCTCCAGCTGAGATATCTGTATTCTTCCTAAAGCTTTCTGGAGGAGATGCAGGTTCCTCTGGTTCAAAGGGGAACGTGAGGTGCAGCACTGAGAGCCATGCCAGGACCTGCGTGCGGTCAGCGTGGTGCACTCGGTATTTCAGACCCTTTTGATACAGGTCTGAGCTTTGCAAAAGCCTTTCAAACAGAAGGGCTGCTGTTAAGGAGAAATGCTCCGAGGAAGAGCAGCTGGGTGTTGCGGGTGCTGGGTGACATTTCCAGCCCCTCTGCTCAGACACGGATTTGCAGAACTGACTCAGGTGCTGCGCAGTCTCTGCTATAATTTCACACAAGCGTTGTGGTGCCAGCTCGGGGAAGTTCTCCTTCCCCGACCCCCACTTCCTTGCGACAGAACAAACGTGTTCGTGGGGCGAACTACATCAGGGAACCAATCCGAGTTAAAATTAGCCTGGCCGAGAAGCTAATTTCAACCTGGGATGGCTTCTCTGGCAGATGGGAGCAGGGGAGCGTGCCCAGCCGGTGACAAGTGCGCAGCCCTCCCGCTGCTGCTTTTAGCCGCCCGGTGGCTTATGCTGGTGTGCCCTGGTCTGGTCTCAAGGGCTTTCAGTGGGGGTTAAGACTTAAGATTTCAGTGGGCAGAACTGTTTTTTCCTATTTCTGAGCGTATATCGAAGCGTGAGACAAATCCACCTCCAGAATGGTATCCAGTCTGTGACAACACTGGTGCTTGTGAACTAGCCGTGCTTTCAAACGAGAGTGGTTGTAAACTGGAAGCAACATTTTCAAGTCAGATGAGACGTTTCAACGAGCTGGGTGTTTTTATTTTTGTTGATTTTTTTTTTATTGAAGCACCTCCCTGCAGCTTTGGTCCTGTTGGCCTGCAGCTGGCCCTCAGCTCAGCCTGCCTGCTTGGATCTTCCTCTGCCGCTTTTTCAGTGTGTATCTTTGTGTAACCCTCTTGTTTTTCGTCATCCTCAACTGCTCATGGGGTGTTGCTGCTTTAACCTACAAGGCCAGCTTGTGAGGATTAATGCCATGTAATTGCTCATTAATATTTCTACCCCAAGCTGACCAGCTCTGGGCCTGGCGGCAGGCAGGGTGCCAGTGCCCGGCTGCTGCCTCGGGCCCAACCTGCCACCGGGTGCTCTCAAGAGTTGAAATAGCCATTAAAACCCATGGCAGGGTGGGAGTGGGGAGCTTGGCCTTCCTGGGAAAGGGTGTCTCCTTCCCTGGAGGGGTCGTGAGGCCTGAGAGATCGGGATGGAGGTGGGCACCTGTGGCCCCTCTCCCTCAGGGCCCCCGTTTCCACCTGGAGGTGGAGGGAAGGTAATGCCTGAAACATGCCGTCACGAAGCTTCCTGCTGGGGTGTTCTCACTTGTTTTACTAAGAAATTGCATCAGAAATACCTGCTTTTTAATATAGTGTAATTATTTTGGGTCTGGTATTTTTTTATGCATGCCTCTGTTTTTTGATTTGCTCTGCTTAATAGTCCCTTGTGTTTTTTCCTCCCTTTCTTCAAACATATATTTGTAAAAGCCCCAGAATATATTCATCTGTAGTCAGTAAGAGCTCCTTTCTGGAACTTTCTGGTACCTGTAGATCCCATGATGTAGAGCAAAGAGATCCTGAGTGTCCATCACAACTCTTTGTGATGTAGACTTTCTAATTAAGGGCACTAAACTTACTGAAACACATGTGAAGATGAAATGATTAAAAAAACACTCCCTCACCCCCCACCCTCCCCAAAAAAATGCAACCCAAACCATCCCCAAAAATATTAAAAATATTCCAAAAATTTAAATTTTTAATCAACTTTCTCTGTAGTTGTGAGGTGGGACTGATTTCAGTGCCTTTACATTACACGTAGGCAGGCTAGACCTTGGTTTCAAAAATGTTAAGGTTACTGTTAAGTAGGTGGAGATCTGTCTGTATATGGCTGAGTTTAAAAATGGTTATTTTTGGTTCAGGTGAAGACTTCTTGATTCTCACTGTGTGTTAAGCTTTGAAACTGGAACAGCCATCTCCGATTTCCCAGCGGTGGTGTGCACTATGGGTCTCTCTCTGTGTGGAGTCAGTTTCTTACCTCTGGCCCTAGAAAGCCAAATTCGGGCTGTTGCAGAGATCAGTTCTGTTTTGTTGCAACTATTGCTTCTGGTTTTGAAATCTGATTCAGAAAGAAGCTAAACATGTTAAAAATAGAGAGAAAAGGGAGGAAAAGGCCACTCCAGCTATATAGCTTTTAGGAGACTCAAATGCCCCCCCCTTTTTTTTTTTCTTTTTTGGAGGGTATGTGTGAGCCGCTTAGGAGTTCAAAGATTTTTGAGAGGTTTCCCCTAGAGTAAGAGAATAGGTAGTTCCTCAAGAGACTACACAGGGGGATATTTTTCACACAGATGTTCAAGTTATGATGCTTGAAGCACAAGGTGTAGGGGGGAAATGCTTCCCCGTTGAATGTGCAGCTTCAATGATTCTGCTATGCCCTTGACTGTGTTTAGATGATGATGTGCCCACTGTTTTTAACAACAATGTAAAATAAGTTAGCAGCTGATAATGTGATGTTATCCAAATGTAGGTCATGTGAAAGTCATAAATTAACATCCTTGAGACAATAAGAGTTTCACAATGTCATTCCTTGTGGGTTGTGTTTTGTTCAACATTTTAAATGTGGTGATTGTTTTGACATTAAGAAGCATTATTTATGCTAATGATGTAAGATGGAAAGTTTTCTAATTATTGTGTTTTTCTTGTTTGCTTTAAGAGTCAGATTTACAGATCTGTCAACACCGCACACCAACGTGTTGCACCAAAAAAATGGAAGAAAGCTACCAGGCAGCTGTTCGAAGGGAGAGGACTCAAAGTATCCAGGCACTGAATTTTGAACTAAAGTACATGATCGTTGGTCATATCACAGCTTTTCAAGGTAGGAACTGTTGAGTCCCTGCACTCCTATGGGTATTTTATAAAATTATCCTCTGCAATCAAAAGGAAAAGCTCTTTACTTTGTTTTTAATTTCTTCTGCATTGCATGCTGTAGTCACTGGCTTATGGTTTAGTTCCCTGTTCTTTGATGATCCTGCTTTAGGGAAAAGGTGATGGCACTTAATCTTGACTGGTATTTTAAGCATCTGCCTAAATCAAATTAGGAATAGATTTAAGCTTAGACCTTTTTCCTAGGATCATTTTAAAGAAAGATTGGCATGGATTATTTTTTTTTTTAAGGCATCTTCAATTATCATGTAGGTGCCTGGTGGTTGTTTATGCTTTTGATATTATTTTGTGTTGCCAGCCTATTACAGATGTAGAATGTTACATGAAAATGCGTTTGTTTGTTGAATCTGAAGAGTAAGTGCTCTAACTGATATGACAAGTGAGAACACAGCTCTTCATGTGAAAATGTTTCACTCCCTGGCAGGTCACGTGAAGAGTGATCTGTTTTCAAGAATTACAGCCACACAGTTAAATGTGAACGCATGAAGGAGCCTGTGCTGAAAGTCTGTTCTCATAACTCTTGATGTTCTCAAAGCTAGAGAACAAACCTTTTCTCTAACAGGTTGGTGTAAGTCTATGTGATTTCTTCATACAGACAGTTACTGTACTATTAAAGGCAGGAAAATGCCTGTGTAGGATTGTGCACTATACAATGTTGAGCGCTGGAGACTTTTCTCCCAAAAGGCATTTAAGCATAGCTTGTGAACTTTAAATATATGAGAGTTGAGTGATTAAATCAATCATTGAGTGATGAATCCAGCTTACTGACTTCTGTGGGCCTAATTACATGCTTAATTTTAACTCAGTGCTTTGCTATGTTTAGTGCTGAGCACCCTCATGGAATGGGTTTTGAAAACAAGCCAGCAGTTATTAAAATACAAAGTGTTTAGGTGTGTATGATTAAGCTTTTTGTTACAAGGCAGTTTTTATCAAATAGTAGCTTTTTTGTCTAGTTTCTTCTGTTGAGTGAAACTGTTATAAATAAAAGATGTGATTGACAGTTAACAAGAGATAGCATATTATCTAAAATTGACAATAAGCTATGGTGGAAGTCTGAAAGGCATGTGCAAGGGCAAGATAAAAATGTTCTTCTGATTTTGGTCATTTACCTTTTCCCTCTGTTGTGTACCAATGAGCGAGAAATGGCATTTTGGTTTATTTTACAATTAATTTTGAAAACTTTTAATGTCCCCCATAATTTAAAAATTTGGTTGCAGGGTGCTTTGGAGGAGCACTGTAGGTAAAAGGGTGACTGTTGGCATTGTTAAATGCTGGTAAGTTATTCAAGCAATCTTTCAGTATCATGATTGAATAAAGATAAGGTCAGAATAGATTAACCTACCAGCCCCTTTAGGTCAAGCCAGCGGCTTTATTGTCTGTCACTGATGAAGCCTTTTGATGGAATGAAAGAAGCAGTTAGACATTTCACACAGTTTAAATTTACAAGCATTTTCTGGAAGTGGGTAAATAGGTTGTTTGTTGTAACTTGTTACGGCTGGCCTTCTGTCCACATTAGGTGGGAACACTTGAAAAATGTAACTTTTTTCTCTTGCCTTGGGAGCTGCTTTTGTTCTTTGGTTTTGTCCCAGGTGTCAGTGAAAAGCCTCTCTTTATCTTGTGCTGTATAAACATTCTGTTGCTAAGAGTAGTGCTGTGTGAGACATTTACTGAGAGGGAAGATCTTTGCATTGCATTAGCTCTGTCCATTTGGTCTCTTTTGATTTGTTGCTATTTTGAATGATAAAGTGTGAGTGTGCCAAAAGCACATTTAAAGTCTGAGAAAAGAAATATCCTTATTTTAGAAACTTTCAGGTGCCTTTCAGATGTCATGTTTCTTGCAGCAGTGGGAACTCGCTCAGACTTAGAAATGAATAAATTGCTATTTTTTTAGCATGTGGCGGTGTTTACTTGTACAATTTTCATGCACAATTTACTTTCTTTTATATATACACATTTTTAGTACTATTAGTGTAGTGAAAGCAAAGCAGTAGTTAGCCTTGCTGCCTACTGCTGAGAAAAAGAAATCTTAACTGCTTTTTATGCACTTTTAGCAGACAATACTGTTAATATTATACCCATACTGATAAAATTATTTTCAAGACTAACATGGTATAAGAAATGGATTTTCAGGAGTCCAGCTTTGAGCACATAGTGGTAGGAATTAAATTTCAGTGGGAAGAGAGAGCAACTTTTTGGAGGTGGGTGACAGACTGTGGATTTTTTTGAGTTCTCATCTCCTTATTTTCTTTCATGGAAGTCAGAAGACACTTACTTCTGAAGACCTGCAATTAGATACTACAAGTATTAATAGGAAAGAGCTTTCTCATGTGAGTAGGTGCTTTGATGTGAGGTTGGTTAAATATTCCCTCTACACTGTTGGGGTACTGCAGTTGGCTGTGGACGTTTTGGACTTGAATGGATTTTGTTTTGATTTTTCTTTTTGAAATTGAAAATGTTATTTAAGTAGCTTTGCCCACAGCTGAAATAAGACAATTTTCACAGGTGCTGGGTTTAGTTGTGCAACATAATTAGTCTGTAAGACTTGATTAAACATACCACAGCTGTGGGCAGGCTTGTTATATTTGGGCTAAAGCCCAGTCTGTACATATGGTCAGCCTTAGCACTAAACGGTTCAATCCTGCTATTTTTCCCCCCTTTAGATTTTTCAATATTAGCAACCCAGACCTTGCTCAAACACTTAATAAATCAAGCTTCTGCCTGGATGGTTTTTCGCTTGAACTCCTGTCGCTAATGCTGTTACACCTGATGTGAGTAGGAAGAGACTCATTGGCATCAATTGCAGGCTGGAAAATGCCCTCCCCATCAGTATCAGGACAGGAGGGAGGGAGAGAGGAAGGAATTTCATTTCAGGGCCAGCTGGCTGCTTGGCAAGCATCATCAGACTCAGCTCCTGCAAAATCATACATTGTCACAAAATTTTTTGGGTGTTTGGCATGTTGAATGTAACCAGGCCCCTGAGGGAGGGTTTAATGGACAGGGTTCCATGGTTTGCTGGATTCCCTTTCTCTTTTGGTCCGTGGTGTAGCCTAAAAGTCATAACCACGGTATTAGTCACTCCACAGGTGTGTTATTAATGACTCTCTGCTCCAAGTGGAGTCAAAGGCAGGGTGGCATAAGTGGGTGAGATAGGTCAGTGTGCCAAACTGGAGCAGGAGCCGCATAACAGAGGAGAACGGACCTGTTAAATGATCTGAGTATGTCACACTCTGGCTCTTCACGGGTGGCTTTGTTTTGGATGCATTTTGGAGCAGGTCAGTTCGTCCCATCCAAAGATGTGCTTATCTGCTTCTGTGACAGCAGCCTGAAATGTCCAGCAGAACTATTGAAACAAATGATCAAACAGAAGGTGTTTATTTTGTGACGTTCTTTCTCCTTTGATAACCAGAAAGTTCTTCTTTGAACGTAGTGTTTTCTGTGTTCTGACCTTTTTTAAGCTTGCATGTAAACAAATGTAGAGTTTTAGCTTAGATTTATGTCTTTGTGGTGTCAGTTGGCACAGTCATCCTTCTATTCCTCCCCAATTCCCTCCTGCAGTCCCTGCACTCCTTGGGGACGCTTCCAAGCAAGGCAGTGATTCATTGTTAGTGGATTAAGAGTGGTGCGGGCGCGCAGGCTGGGAGCTGCTGTCAGGAGAGGTATCAATAGTCTGAGGGGAAAGCTTTGTTGTGGACAGACAGCAGAGAGAAACCTGGCCTCCCTTTTCTGTGTCCTTTAGGGAGTGCCAACAGGTGCCATGTAAGGACCCACAGAAAGCTGGGCTTTGCTCTTGTCATCTTGTGCTGAGGCTAATTTGAGGTAATGAGAATCCAAACACTGGTAATTTATTTGGTCTGTTGATGATCTCTGCAGAGAGGCAGAGCAAGATCCTTTGAAACCTACATCGCATTTCAGTCACCAAATGAACAGGTATCAGAGATACGGTGAAAAGCTTTTGTACAATTTTCATGCACAATTTACTTTCTTTTATATATACACATTTTTAGTACTATTAGTGTAGTGAAAGCAAAGCAGTAGTTAGCCTTGCTGCCTACTGCTGAGAAAAAGAAATCTTAACTGCTTTTTATGCACTTTTAGCAGACAATACTGTTAATATTATACCCATACTGATAAAATTATTTTCAAGACTAACATGGTATAAGAAATGGATTTTCAGGAGTCCAGCTTTGAGCACATAGTGGTAGGAATTAAATTTCAGTGGGAAGAGAGAGCAACTTTTTGGAGGTGGGTGACAGACTGTGGATTTTTTTGAGTTCTCATCTCCTTATTTTCTTTCATGGAAGTCAGAAGACACTTACTTCTGAAGACCTGCAATTAGATACTACAAGTATTAATAGGAAAGAGCTTTCTCATGTGAGTAGGTGCTTTGATGTGAGGTTGGTTAAATATTCCCTCTACACTGTTGGGGTACTGCAGTTGGCTGTGGACGTTTTGGACTTGAATGGATTTTGTTTTGATTTTTCTTTTTGAAATTGAAAATGTTATTTAAGTAGCTTTGCCCACAGCTGAAATAAGACAATTTTCACAGGTGCTGGGTTTAGTTGTGCAACATAATTAGTCTGTAAGACTTGATTAAACATACCACAGCTGTGGGCAGGCTTGTTATATTTGGGCTAAAGCCCAGTCTGTACATATGGTCAGCCTTAGCACTAAACGGTTCAATCCTGCTATTTTTCCCCCCTTTAGATTTTTCAATATTAGCAACCCAGACCTTGCTCAAACACTTAATAAATCAAGCTTCTGCCTGGATGGTTTTTCGCTTGAACTCCTGTCGCTAATGCTGTTACACCTGATGTGAGTAGGAAGAGACTCATTGGCATCAATTGCAGGCTGGAAAATGCCCTCCCCATCAGTATCAGGACAGGAGGGAGGGAGAGAGGAAGGAATTTCATTTCAGGGCCAGCTGGCTGCTTG